TTTTTTCTTTTAAGACAGAGTCTCACTCTGTCACCCAGGCTAGAGTTCAGTGGCTCAATCTCAGCTCCCTGCAACCTCCATCTCCTGGGTTCAAGTGATTCTCCTGCCTCAGCCTCCCGAGTAGCTGGGATTACAAGCATGTGCCACCAAGCCCGGCTCATTTTTGTATTTTTTTTTTTAAGACATGGGGTTTTACCATGTTGAGAAGGCTAGTGTTGAACTCCTGACTTCAAGTGATCTGCCCACCTTGGCATCCCAAAGTGCTGGGATTATAGGTGTGACCAACTGCGCCCAGACCACTCTCATAATTTTTGCAAATGCAGTTTTTTTTTTTTTACTGTTTTCACATAGTTTATTCAGAAGTTTAAAAGTTAAAATGTGGGCATTTTCCCGTAAAACAAATCATCCCCTGCCACTCTGCAACAAAAAGACTCTCCTAACACTGCAGTTACTTCTCTTTACCCAGGCTTACCCCACACTCTTACAAAATACACAGGAGTCAACACCCCAATTATTTGGTAATACGAAGAGACTACAAAGTTACACAAAAGAATCTCATTTACTTCCTTTTCACTAGCAGGCTATGAATGAAAGATTGAGAGGCAAACACATCATCTTCATCCAAGAGTTGAGACTTCCCTAACCATTTTTCTTCCTCTAAGAGGTTAAAACTCAAAGCAGTTTCACTGACAACTGTAACTCTGATACTCCATTTTTCTTTTCTGAATGGCTAAGCTAGGAGATACTTTCCTTTCAAAGCTGATCTTCACAACCTCAAGACTGGCAGAAAGCAGGCTCCCAGCTGCAGCTCAGCCACAATGCTCTGCAATAGGCAAAATTCCCACACAGGTGCAAATGATGCTTTAAGAGTTATCGAAACTTTTTTAAAAAAGTAATAATGCATTAATATGGAGCCTCCACATTTTTCTGACAAAATTTCTCTAAAGGTGGTGGCAGCTGTGAAACTGAAGGCACTTTGTGCTAAAATTCAGAGTCTCTTATGAGAGAATGCCACAGCAGAGAGACCCAATCCGCCTAACTTGCAGGCGACCCTTTAGGGTGGGGAGGAGTATCCTCCAGGAAGGCATCTGCAAAGGAAAAAACTGTAATCATGATTCCAAGGCAAAATGGCTAACGTTGGGAGAGAAGGAATACCGAGAGGAGACGAAACATGGTTGCACCAAGGACTGAGGAGTGAATTTTACAAGGACTTGTCAGCTGGCTCTGTACTTCTATTGGGCTGGTTCCTTCACCATTTCCAAAGAGGTTCTGGAGACCTTGCAGGAACAGGAAGAGCACCTTAGCCAAGAGGATTCCAGGCCTCCTGCCTCTGCCTGGGTTCTCCTTGTTAGGTTCCCAAGGAATAAACTGAGCTCCCATTGGCAGTACTTGCAGGTATTGCTGGTCCACGGCAACATCTGTTTTAGGGGTTTTCTGGTATAGCCGTGAAGAGAAAGTGAGTATTTTCCACATGATCCGGGATTCCTTGGCAATGCCCAAAGGCTTTCTGGGCCTTCTAAGAGCAACAATGGATCAAGCTGGTAACTCCCATCAACACTCAGAAAAGCAGCATGGGTTTTTTATATTGGGGGCAGAGAGGAGATAAATCAATGAACTGACAGCCTTTATCTTAGTACCATAAATAAAGTGCACCATGAATGGAGGCTATAAGCCACTCCCCTGAGGTTGAGGTATGGGTAGAAACTTCCATCACCACCCTCAGGGTAGTGGATCATTTCCTTCAGCCAGGATACTGGCTGCTGAGACTGTCATTATTGCTTTATTTCCTTAGTACTATGGGACTTTTAGCTATAAAGGAAAAAGAAATACTTGGTGGGCTTGGCAGACAGCATGTCACAAAATTACAGGAACTGGCTGATATTCGATGACTATACACAACAATCTCAATAATGTTGGATGATGGCTGTTTTTCCCTTTCATTCTGATGAACTTAGGAAAACTCAAGTTGTTTTGAAAACACCTATCGAATTGGCTCATTATGCTTCAGAAGAAGCAGGAAAGCTGTTTATGACCGATGTAGTAGAAATGGTTGTCTTTGTTTACAAGTTTTCAGACGGATTATGGAAGAAAATCCTCTTATCACATTTCAGGAGACTTTACTATGACATATTGGTGAGTTACATCAACTTCTCAGAAGCTCTTCAAGAGTGTGAGAGGAAAAGCATGATGTTGTACAAAGAACTCTGCTCCATGTAGGATTCTGTGGCAAGAGTACTATTTTGCTGCATTCCTGTAGGAAGGTATTGCCCCACTTGCAGTCAGACCCTCAAAGTGCTTGTATGTGTAATTGATGAAGACCCAGTCTTTGTTCTTGTAATCAGTCTCAGGGTGATTACTTGTGGCCACTGTTGGCTTAAGAATATCAGACTCTGGAAACTCATAGAAGTTTGAGGTATCATCAATGCTTTTGATTTCAATAGATATTGCAGCAGGTCTCTCTCTGATATGTTCCCAGTCAACACCTTCAAAAAAAGAGTTACTTTTGATTTCCTCAACAACTTTTAAAGTATGTAGGTTTATCTACATACTTTAAAAGTTGTCCCTCCTCAAGACGTTGTTCAATTAGATCTGTAATTTCTTCTTGGTTGATTTTTAAGCCAAACAGTTTAAGGTTTGGGGAAATTATACTTATCCTAATTTGGGGATGCATATGAAGGGTGATGTCGTATGGTATGGAGACACAGTTACCCATCCACAAAGAGAAGACAGAGAAGGAAGCAGAAAAGACAGCGTTCCCCCACCCCCCACAAAAAGAGTTCCAGTGATTCAGGATCATTGGAGACAAGTACAGACTGAAGATGGTGGTTTACCTATCTGGAAGGTGGGGAAAAAGGCATTCCATAGTTTATTTGTCTTCCTAGCAAATGACCAAGGTACATGAGGGAGAGAGAAAAAAAGGCATCCCCTTTTTTCTTCCATCCTTATATCTCCAAGTTTCACCAACCGTGGCAGGTGCCACCCAAATGCCAATATGGCCTTCACCCATGCAACAGGGAGGCCTAGAGGGTAGGAATATCTTCACTCACCTCTGCGCTGGCCTATCCTCCCTGCTGTTGGTAACCTTTGAGTTCTGTAGATCTCATTTATGCCATGGATATACACACACATGACCTCCTTCCATGATGCTGGGAGGAGGTGACTAGTTGGCAGGAATTAGTCATTCTCTCCTGTGCTGTGCCCCTAGACTTCTGCCATTGTCTGCCCTGATATCTGGTTTTCTTTTCTTGGGCTCCAAGTTGAAGCTTGAAATTGAGTTTGGGACAACAGAGTACCTCAGGTGGGTGCATGGATTCATTAAATTGACTCCCAGGTGGCCTTTGACAAACTGCAGTCAGTGACTGGCAGGAGCAGGCTGGGCCGTTCCTCCATTCTGTGCCGTTCTGTGTGACTTTTACCACTTTTCTCTGCCATAAGCATTCTGCTAAGGTGAAGCTGTGGAATCAGGTCCTTCTCAAACAAGTGAGAGGAAGGAGTCCCAAGATTTGGGAACCTGGTCCAGTAAGTTGCCTCCCAAAAGGAAAAAAGAAAAACCTCTTGCACAGAAAAGCTCTCTGTATTTTCAAGGCTGTGTTATCTCCTGACATGGAGGAGAAAAGAAAAAAAAAGCTTAAGTGAAGGAAGGGATAGGCACTTGGGGGAAAAATCCTCTTGCTTTTATGCAAGTGGGTTCCTTCAATGGGAAAAAAAACTTTTTTTTTGAGACGGAGTTTCGCTCTTGTTACCCAGGCTGGAGTGCAATGGCGTGATCTCAGCTCACCGCAACCTCCACCTCCCGGGCCCAGGCAATTCTCCTGCCTCAGCCTCCTGAGCATCTGGGACTACAGGCACGTACCACCGTGCCCAGCCAATTTTTTGCACTTTTAGTAGAGACGGGGTTTCACCATGTTGACCAGGATCGTCTCGATCTCCTGACCTCATGATCCACCCGCCTCAGCCTCCCAAAGCGCTGGGATTACAGGCGTGAGCCACCGTGCCTGGCCAACAACATTCTTAATATTATAAAAGAAGAGATAGAAGCCATTACAATCCATGAACGAAAGAAGGGAAATGCCACAGCAAAGTCTGGGAGTCTTGGCTGACACCCTAGCCAGTGGTTGCCAGTGCCTTCTTTATTGATGAGTTTCTAGTGATTTTAGAGTTATCCCTTTCTTGATGCAGAGAGGAAGCCATGCTTACAAATGGAGATTTCCTTTATAGGTGTATAACTTCTCTTCTGAAAGGGTAACATCTATGTTTTCAGAGCTTCTCCTGTTTCTGCTGTTTTCCAAAATAATCAGCTCAAAGTAATCTTTATGCTAACATGGTGAATTTCGAGTGGTATATTCTGGTCTCCTACAGTAATATTTTGGGGTGGTATGTTCTTAACCCTATACCTTTTATCATTATATTTTAGTAAGTAATGTACACACACATCTTTACCCTTCTTAGAGATTTAGAAAAATAGAAACAGAATTCACTGTGATATGAATTTATTGGACATATCTTGAATAATCAAGTTGATCCTAAAAAGCAGTAAAAGTTCTTTGAATCCAGCATTAGCTGGAAGAAGGCAGCTACTTTCTCTATATATATTTTCTCTTTCAATTTCCCAACTCTCATAACATTTTCTTTGGGTTGATGGCCATATTGGTCAGAGTTTGATGCATAAAATAGAATCCACTCTTCATTATTGGCATGAAGAGAGGGTTGATTAGATGTAAGCAAAAAAGACGAAAGTGGTCTCTAGGCTGGGCCATTGAGAATAATTTCTAAAATAATAACCCAGCTGGGGAGCGCTGAGGCAGTCACTGGAAATTGCCAACTGAAAATGATCAAGTTAAAACTGCATTTGCGTCCGGCAGTTGGAACGCTTCCTGTTGTCCTCAACGCGCAACTGCCCGTCGCCCCCTGTCTCAGAGCCCCTCACGCGTCCCCTCTGGTCTTTGGCTCGTTGGCTGCCGCCGCCGGGACTTCACCAACCTTCACGTAGGGACTACTGGCCGAAGGGGCGTCTGCGGCTCTCCGCCGCCCCCAGCCCTGCCTCTCCCGCTGCTCTGCCATGGCAATGACAGGCTCAACACCTTGCTCATCCATGAGTAACCACACAAAGGAAAGGGTGACAATGACCAAAGTGACACTGGAGAATTTTTATAGCAACCTTATCGCTCAACATGAAGAACGAGAAATGAGACAAAAGAAATTAGAAAAGGTGATGGAAGAAGAAGGCCTAAAAGATGAGGAGAAATGACTCAGAAGATCAGCACATGCTCGGAAGGAAACAGGGTTTCTTCCTTTGAAGAGAACAAGACTTGGATTGGAAGATTTTGAGTCCTTAAAAGTCATAGGTAGAGGAGCATTTGGTGAGGTACAGCTTGTTCAGAAGAAAGATACAGGGCATGTGTATGCAATGAAAATACTCCGTAAAGCAGATATGCTTGAAAAAGAGCAGGTTGGCCACATTCGTGCGGAGTGTGACATTCTAGTGGAGGCAGACAGTTTGTGGGTTGTGAAAATGTTCTATAGTTTTCAGGATAAGCTAAACCTCTACCTAATCATGGAGTTCCTGCCTGGAGGGGACATGATGACCTTGTTGATGAAAAAAGACACTCTGACAGAAGAAGAGACTCAGTTTTATATAGCAGAAACAGTATTAGCCATAGACTCTATTCACCAACTTGGATTCATCCACAGAGACATCAAACCAGACAACCTTCTTTTGGACAGCAAGGGCCATGTGAAACTTTCTGACTTTGGTCTTTGCACAGGACTGAAAAAAGCACACAGGACAGAATTTTATAGGAATCTGAACCACAGCCTCCCCAGTGATTTCACATTCCAGAACATGAATTCCAAAAGGAAAGCAGAAACCTGGAAAAGAAATAGACGTCAGCTAGCCTTCTCCACAGTAGGCACTCCTGACTACATTGCTCCTGAGGTGTTCATGCAGACCGGGTACAACAAGCTCTGTGATTGGTGGTTGCTTGGGGTGATCACGTATGAGATGCTCATCGGCTACCCACCTTTCTGTTCTGAGACCCCTCAAGAGACATATAAGAAGGTGATGAACTGGAAAGAAACTTTGACTTTTCCTCCAGAAGTTCCCATCTCTGAGAAAGCCAAGGATCTAATTTTGAGATTCTGCTGTGAATGGGAACATAGAATTGGAGCTCCTGGAGTTGAGGAAATCAAAAGTAACTCTTTTTTTGAAGGTGTTGACTGGGAACATATCAGAGAGAGACCTGCTGCAATATCTATTGAAATCAAAAGCATTGATGATACCTCAAACTTCTATGAGTTTCCAGAGTCTGATATTCTTAAGCCAACAGTGGCCACAAGTAATCACCCTGAGACTGATTACAAGAACAAAGACTGGGTCTTCATCAATTACACATACAAGCACTTTGAGGGTCTGACTGCAAGTGGGGCAATACCTTCCTACAGGAATGCAGCAAAATAGTACTCTTGCCACAGAATCCTACATGGAGCAGAGTTCTTTGTACAACATCATGCTTTTCCTCTCACACTCTTGAAGAGCTTCTGAGAAGTTGATGTAACTCACCAATATGTCATAGTAAAGTCTCCTGAAATGTGATAAGAGGATTTTCTTCCATAATCCGTCTGAAAACTTGTAAACAAAGACAACCATTTCTACTACATCGGTCATAAACAGCTTTCCTGCTTCTTCTGAAGCATAATGAGCCAATTCGATAGGTGTTTTCAAAACAACTTGAGTTTTCCTAAGTTCATCAGAATGAAAGGGAAAAACAGCCATCATCCAACATTATTGAGATTGTTGTGTATAGTCATCGAATATCAGCCAGTTCCTGTAATTTTGTGACATGCTGTCTGCCAAGCCCACCAAGTATTTCTTTTTCCTTTATAGCTAAAAGTCCCATAGTACTAAGGAAATAAAGCAATAATGACAGTCTCAGCAGCCAGTATCCTGGCTGAAGGAAATGATCCACTACCCTGAGGGTGGTGATGGAAGTTTCTACCCATACCTCAACCTCAGGGGAGTGGCTTATAGCCTCCATTCATGGTGCACTTTATTTATGGTACTAAGATAAAGGCTGTCAGTTCATTGATTTATCTCCTCTCTGCCCCCAATATAAAAAACCCATGCTGCTTTTCTGAGTGTTGATGGGAGTTACCAGCTTGATCCATTGTTGCTCTTAGAAGGCCCAGAAAGCCTTTGGGCATTGCCAAGGAATCCCGGATCATGTGGAAAATACTCACTTTCTCTTCACGGCTATACCAGAAAACCCCTAAAACAGATGTTGCCGTGGACCAGCAATACCTGCAAGTACTGCCAATGGGAGCTCAGTTTATTCCTTGGGAACCTAACAAGGAGAACCCAGGCAGAGGCAGGAGGCCTGGAATCCTCTTGGCTAAGGTGCTCTTCCTGTTCCTGCAAGGTCTCCAGAACCTCTTTGGAAATGGTGAAGGAACCAGCCCAATAGAAGTACAGAGCCAGCTGACAAGTCCTTGTAAAATTCACTCCTCAGTCCTTGGTGCAACCATGTTTCGTCTCCTCTCGGTATTCCTTCTCTCCCAACGTTAGCCATTTTGCCTTGGAATCATGATTACAGTTTTTTCCTTTGCAGATGCCTTCCTGGAGGATACTCCTCCCCACCCTAAAGGGTCGCCTGCAAGTTAGGCGGATTGGGTCTCTCTGCTGTGGCATTCTCTCATAAGAGACTCTGGGAGGATCGATCCAAGATGGCCGACCACTAACAGCTCAGGATTGTAGCTCCCAGTGAAAGCCCAGAGAACGAGACGACGCCACACTTTTAGACAAATTTTCGTCACTCACCGATCAGCCGATTCCCAGTGGAGGAGCCCCACGGGTCGCCAGCACGACTCTTGTGGCCGCCGCAGTGGTTTTGCCGGCGTCTCGGCGCAGCAGCTCTTCATGCAGAGCCAACGGGACTGCTTCCCCTACTGACCGGAGTTTGGAGCTCCGGGAAGTCAGAGCCGCTTGTTGCGGACTCAAGAAGGAAGCCAGACCAGAGATTCCCGGGCAGAAGAGCACCATCAGTCTTACCGCTGCTATTTAGGCTGCCACAGTGGGTTGCTCGGATCCCAACACTGGGAATCAATAAGTCGGACGTCGACTCAGAAAACTAATTAGAAAGGCGGTTCATCTACAATGAAGGGAAAAAAACAGCCTAAGAAGGCCGAGTATACTCAAAATCAGAACCCATCAGCAACAGAACAAGCCCTGATGGAAAAGGACTCATCAGCAGCAGAACAAGCCCTGATGGAAAAGGACTCATCAGTAACGGAACAAGCCCTGATGGAAAAGGACTGTGTTCCATTATCTGAAGTAGGCTTTAAAAGGTGGATGATAAGAAACTTCTGGGAGTTAAAGGAACTTGTTCTAACCCAATGTAAAGAAACTAAGAACTTGGAAAAAAGATTAGATGAAATGTTGAAAAGAATAGACAATATAGAGAGGAATACAAATGAACTTATGGAGTTGAAAAATACAACACGAGAACTTAGTGCAACATGTACAAGCTTAAACAGCCGAATGGATCAAGCAGAAGAAAGGGTATCAGAGGTCGAAGATCAACTTAATGAAACAACACAACAAGACAAGAATAGAGAAAAAAGGATAAAAAGGAATGAGCAAAGTCTCCAAGCAATATGGGACTATGTGAAAAGACCTAATATACGCTTGATTGGTGTACCTGAATGTGACGGAGAGAATGAATTCAAGCTGGAAAATACTCTCCAGGACATTATCCAGGAAAATTTTCCTAATTTAGCAAAGCAGGACACTATTCAACCCCAGGCAATACAGAGAACACCACAAAGATATTCCTCAAGAAGACCAACCCCAAGGCACATAATCGTCAGATTCACCAAGATCGAAACGAAGGAGAAAATATTAAGGGCAGCCAGAGAGAAAGATCAAGTTACCCATAAAGGTAAGCCTATTAGGCTTACAGCAGATCTCTCAACGGAAACCCTACAAGCTAGAAGAGAGTGGGGGCCAATATTCAATATACTTAATCAACAGAACTTTCAGCCCAGAATTTCATATCCTGCCAATTTAAGCTTTACATTTGAAGGAAAAATAAAATTTTTTAGGAACAAGCAAGTACTCAGAGATTTTATTACCACCAGGCCTGCTTTACAAGAACTTCTAAAAGAAGCACTATACACAGAAAGGAACAACCAGTATGACCCTTTCTAAAAATACACCAAAAAGTAAAGAGCATTAACATAAAGAAGAATTTTTATCAATGAAAGGACAAAATAGCCAGTTAATATCAAACGGCAGCAACCCTAAATTTAAATCGACCAAACCTCCCAATCAAAAGATACAGACAAAATCTAACGGTATATCCAAAGATATACATAGACTCAAAATAAAGGGCTGGAAAAAAAAAAAACGTACCAACCAAATGGAGAGCAAAAATAAATAAATAAGCAGGAGTTGCAATTTTCACATTTGACAAAATAGATTTCAAAGCTACAAGGATACAAGGATAAAAGGATTAATGTAATAATAAGAGATCTTAACACCCAGATACATAAGACCTATAATGAGATTTAGATTCAACGAGACAGAAAATTGATAACGATATCCAGGACTGGAACTAAGATCCAGAACAAATAAACTCAATAGGGCTCTCCATTTTAAACACACAAAATATTCATTATCCACAAAATCTAACGATATATCTAAAGATATACAAAGACTCAAAACAAGGGGATGGAAAAAAGCTCACCAACCAAATGGAGAGCAAAAATAAATAAATAAAAAGCAGGAGTTGCAATTCTCACACTTAATAAAATAGATTTCAAAGCTACAAGGATGCAAGGGTAAAAGGATTAATGTTACAATAAGAGATCTTAACACCCAGATACATAAGACACATAATGAGATTTAGATTCAACGAGACAACAAATTGATAAGATATCCAGGACTTGAACTCAGAACCAGAACAAATAAACACAACAGAGGTCTCCATTTTAAACACATAAAATATGCATTAACCACTTTAAACACTCAAAATATTGATCGGCCATTATTGAAACCCATTTTAGGAATGAAGTAATATTCCTTTTTCCCTCTTTTTCTTTTTTTCCCCTTCTTTTTCTCTGTTTCCCTAAAAAAAAAAAAAAAAAAAAAGAGAGAGAAAAAAAAAAAAATAAGTCCACTAGACTAGCAGGTCCTTCTCAAACAATATCTGTTTTTTAAAAGGCTGATGCCTAATAGATAGATCTATGCCAAGCATGGTTTACTACTTTGCTTGCTTGGTCTAGAGCAGTATTCACAAGGGACAAAAAATTTAATGTGATGTTTTAAAAAAAAAAAAAAAAGAAATTACAGATCTAATTGAACAACGTCTTGAGGAGGGACAACTTTTAAAGTATGTAGATAAACCTCTGTCTGCTTCCCCTTCGTAGGACTCCAGGGTTGATAGGGCTCCATAGCTCAAGGGAAGGGAACTCAGAAACCTGACATGCCAGCAAAAGGTTATAAGTTCTTACCAGTCAGAATTCTGGCCTCCCTAACTCTGTGCAAGCTGGTTGAATGAATGGTAAAAATCAATGTTTATATCATCTGTAAAGTTTTGATTAAAGGAAAAAATGATTTGTGAGGCTAGTCTTAACCTGGTGTGCTTTATGTGTCTTTCTGTATAGTTCTCTCATAAGGAGGAATATCTTAGGATAGAACATGGGATTAGGATCCAATAAGCCTGCTCTTCAAGCCAGCCCAGAAAACTTGATACTTAACAAACTTTTCTACAGATCTCTGATGAAAAACAACAAAACAAGAACACTGGATGAGGTCTCCATCTTGTTTTACGTCCCAAGAAGTTGACTTTATTACCACATGGCAGTATTTTCTTTTGCTCTCTGCCATTTTACAATGGCGTCCCAGGTTCAGTCCTGGCTTAGGGAATGAGTATGTTCTGGTTAATTTCTGTGTGACTTTTACCATGTAGTTATTATACTCCCCTCCATGAACAACTTCTATCTTCCTTTCTTAAATTTTCCTTTATATGAGCCACATTTAAAGATTCTAGATTTTGTAAACACTGCTTACCACCTCTTTGAAAATACTTCATGCCCTGGTGGTTCAGTCATGACCTTAGTTGAGACTTGTTGGTTTCACCTGTGAGGTGGCTTATGGTAAAGTAAAGAGCCAGAAATATTGGCTGCTTGGCCAATGCAAGTAATAAGATTTAAAAATACTTTTTAAAAGAGCACCATGGTTAAAAGTCAGCTTAATTAAAAGTAGAAAGGCTGGGTGTGGTGGCTTATGTCTATAATCCTAGCACTTTCAGAAGACGAAGTGGGTAGATTGCCTGAGCTCTGGGAGTTCAAGACCAGCCTGGGAAACATGGCAAAACCCTGTCTCTACTAAAAATACAAAAAATTAGCTGTGCATGGTGGTATGCACCTGTAATCCCAGGTACTCGGGAGGCTGAGGCATGAGAATTACTTGAACCCAAGAGGTGGAGGTTCCAGTGAGCCGAGATTATGCCACTGCACTCCAGCCTGGGCAACAAAGTGAGACTCTGTCTCCAAAAAAAAAAAAAAAAAAGTGAATATTCCAGCTATAGGTATATTTAAGACACCTTTATGTCTTTTATTTTCTTCCTGGATCTTGTTTGGTTGGAA